AATTCACTGTGTGAAAATACTGTCTGAAGACTGAAGGTATCTCCACAGTACAAAGAACGACTGACAAAACTGTGTGACCCGAGCCTCTTCCCCTCACCCAGGCAGCAGGGACTCCAGGCAGCCCGTGAGAGTGCAGGCTGGAACAAATGAATGACTGGCTGCCAGTGGAAAGGTACACATTAACCTAGCAGTGAATTTGTCAATAATTACCATCTATTTACTTTGTCCACTTTGGTGCTTAGGCTGTAAAATCTCAGGAAGAAGTCTGCCACAAAGAGACGGCATTTATTTTAGAAAAGAGTTGAGGGAAGGGTTAGCCATGTCCTCAGGGGCTGGCCACACTGGGAGGAGGGTTCAGAGGCCAAGGCTCCAGAGACCTTTGGGTCCATTCAAGTCTGTGAAGTCCACAAAACTTCTGTGTCCAGATTCCATCAGCTACTCATGGCATTGAAAAGAACAGAAATTGCCCAATATTTATAACTTGCTTCTACAAAGAAGAAATTCCAAACTTAATTTGTCTAATTGGCCTTTAAAAAAATCCTCACTGAGGATATGTTTATCGATTTTTATAAAGAGAGGAAGGGAGAGAAAGAGGAACATAGAAGTGAGAGAGAAACATCGATTAGGTTGCCTCCTGTACATTTCCCAAGACTGGGGATCAAATCAGCAACCCAGGTCTGTGCCCTGACCTGGGGTCAAACCCATAACCTTCTGGTGTACGGGATGATGCTCCAACCAACTGAGCTACCTGCCCGCGCTGTCTGATTGTCCTTCTGAAAACAAAAAAAGTCTCTTTCCTCACACATTTCAGCACACTGAGTAAAAATCTGTGTGACTACGAGAACTGTTCCACTTTGAAGGACTGGATTATTTACAACCGGAGGCCATTCCCCACCAGTTTCCCTAGCTGGTGGTCTCTGGAGGCAAGAAAAAGCTCAGCAGCATTTAGGGCCTCCCAGGTCGAACGAATGTCTCCCGTGAATGGGTTTCCCTATTCAGTCTCGCAGCTTCCTAACCAGTCCCACTGTCAGATTTAAGTGGGAGCCCAGAAAATAAGCACCTTCATAGCTTAGTGTTCATAGATTTAAGAGCTGTAAGAAAGTCTTGGCTGGTGTAGCTCAGTGGATTCAGCTTGGGCTGCAAACCAAAGGGTTGCCAGTTCAATTCCCAGTCAGGGCACGTGCCTGGGTTGCTGACCAGGTCCCCAGTGGGAGGCCATGTGAGAGGCAACCACACACTGATGTTTCTCGCTCTCTCTTTCTCCCTCCCTTCCATTCTCTCTAAATAAATAAATTTTAAAACTCTTTGAAAATGTCCAAGCAAAAAAAAAATGTCCAAGCAAAATTTATTTTTTTAAAAAAGAGCTGTAAAAGATCTTACAGATAGGTAATCTACTTCAACCCATTATTTATTGTTCTTTTGCTGACAGTCTAATACTGCATCATGTATAATAAACAGTTCTTAAAAAACAAACAACTGTTCTTAAGCCAGCAACAGAAGGTTGTTGGTGGAACTATCAACATGAATCCAGTCTACAGGCTACTTGATGTATTTCAGCTTTAACCCTTGGGGTTCTGAGGTTGATATTGTGAACTCAGAAGAGTCTCTTGGAGTCGAATTCCTGCTGCTGAACTTTGAGGCCTGCCAGGACCAGGCCTTCTACAACACCAAATACGTCTGGAAGGCTGTGGTCTGTGGCCACTTTTGCTGGCTATAAATGGGGTCTCTGAACCAGAGGGAGTGCACGGCTCTTCTTCAAATTGAAGGTGTTCATGCTTGAGATGAAACGGAATTCTATCTAGGCACAAGATGTGCTTATGTGTACAAAGGAAAGCACAACACAGGGACTCCTGGTGGTAAACCAGACAAAAGCAGAGTCACCTGGGGAAAGGTAACTCGTGCTCATGGAAACAGTGGCATGGTTGGTGCTACATTCTGAAGCGACCTTCCTGCTGAGGCCATTGGACACGGAATCCGTGTAATGCTGTACCCTTTGAGCATTTAAACTTATCGATAACTAAATAACAACCCTGACTGTGTGGCTCGGTTGGGGGCCCACTGGCAAAGCGAAGGATTTGGGGCTGGGGGACATGGTTGGGTTGCAGGCTCAGTGCCTGGTCAAGATGCAAAGGGGAGCCAGCTAATGAATGTTTCTCTCACACGTCGATGCTTCTCATCTTCTTTTTCTCCCTCCCTTCCCTCTCAAATAAGTGAATAAAATCTATTTTAAAGAATAAATTTTAAAAAAGAATCTCATGATATAAAGATTATCTGTATCTCTATAGAAGGCATCGGAAGTCTCTACATCTACGTATTCTGCTTAAAACATCTCTAAAGTTGAATGTCCTCCAAATATTCACGCTCCTAGTTAAACTCAGAGGAATACATAAATTTCGTATTTACTGACTCAGAGATAAATACATATTTATTATAACATTGTATTTGTATTATTTATTCGTATATATGTACTACATATCATATTTTTATATTTATTATAACATATATCTTATTTAGGGATTATAATAAATACTCTGTTATATTTTATTTATATTTCTTTTGTTGTCTGAGTGGTGAATGACCACTCCTCTACTGGAGACCCAGCGTGACTTGAGGCCAAAACAGATTTAAATCTAGTTATCCCAATCTCTGGCACAGGACTAGGTCAAGCTCTGAAATCAGAGTACCTGAATTCAAAGCCCAGCTCTGACTCTTCGGAGGCCTGGAGCCTTCGGCAAATTATTTACTTTTATCTGCAAAATGGGGAAATCATAATCATAGTCATAGCATTGTTATAAGGATTAAATAAAGCAATTCACTCACCAATTATGTACCAAGCATTGCTAGGCACTGGGGTTGGGAGAGGGGCACAGTGAATAAATGTATGCACAGGACATTTAATAAATGTGGACTATTTCTATCTAAAAGCACATTCACACTTGGGATTTTATATAAAGAAGTTTTGAGCTGCAGAAACAGGAATGAATTATTTATCCAGCCTCCAATGTCATGGAGGTGAAGTGGAGATGACCATACAACGGTGTCCACTTACATGAAAGTATTGTCTGATTGAGGCTCCGAAGCAAAACACCTGTTGATTGATTCAATATGTGCATTGAGCAATTTATGCAATGTATTAATTCATTTTCTGTGCACTAAAACTGGTGGTCATGTATTTTAACCTTTCTTTCGGATCCACATCTGCATAAACTTAGACCAGCAAGGAAAGCATGAACAATCACTGAAAGGGTGGCTGTGACTCATGTGCACGGTAATTAATATTAGTGATAAAAAAATTTTAAAGGTCATTCACTATTTGGTGAGAGGATTAAAAACCCCATTTTATCTGTTGGGTTCTTCTGCTCTTCCCCAAGAGTAACATTCCCTGCAATACATGTTTTTATCAGTTTAAAATTCTGTAATGATGATTTAATGCTTCACTGTTTAAACCAGGGTGCCACTCCTGGGAGACTCAGGACAGGGCAGGGGATGGGAGAGGCCGAAATAATATGGTGTATCCTCCTGAAGCTTTTCCCATTTTTCCCAATTTTCATGTTGAAATTAACAAGGATGTAATATGGAGCAGAATGCAAAGTCCACCTGATTTCACAAAATAATACATGAAACAAAAAAGAAACTGTTCCTTGCACCAGCCTTTTGAGAGCGTATTTGGGGTGCAGAGGATTTCGTCTCCTTGGGGCAAAGGTCAGCAAGCACCAGGCATTGGGAATGGGTTTTCCATCTTGTCACATCGTCAGCTGCAAGGTGTTTGGGGTCACTTTTAAATATGGCTTTAGCTTTTGCCTATTTTAATTTTTTTAATTTTCTGCTACCTACTGAAGCTAGAAATAAATCATCATAGGCCATGAAACTGAGTGCAGCGAAACATTACTGACCAGGACTCGGTGCCCCAGCTTTGAAACAGCGCTCACGAAAACCCTGCCCTCTCTACTACAAAAATCAGACCGGAAGCTGTTTCTGTGTTAACTGAGTAACACAACGTGTTAAAAGAAGACCCGAGAAAAGGAATTCATCAGAGTATAAAATTTCCCCTAAAGTTAGTCTCGAAGAAGATCATAAACTAGCTTGAAGGAATTTGCTTCAGAGCTTTGTCCAAAACGTTGGCCATTCAAAATCTAAGTGCCTCAGCTGTAAAACCCAGCCACTCTACTTCAGTAATCTGCTTTTATTCTTTCCGCGGCACTTCTCGCTGTCAGAATCTCTCTTAATCATTCCTTTAAGTTGCTTACTGTCTGTCTCATCCACCTCAAAACTTCAAAAGTGGAGTCTCCCTTATCTCCAGCATCTAGCCAAGCAACCTGGCTGTTATACTCTATACTTGACACTCAAAATATATTTACTTGCTGAATTTCTTTATAAGATTCCGTGATGACCACTTGTTGTCACTTGCGTATTTGTCAAATACTTAAACCAAGTACAGGAGAAAGTGTACCTGACCTCTGCAGAAGTACCGCGACCTACCTGGAGTGACTGTCCAGCTGTACTTTCCGCCCCCTGGCCATCACCAATGCTGACACTCTTTCAGGAGGGCAAAGCGGTCTTGATAGAAAATGGGTATACATCTCTCCTTACGACCGAAGCTAATGGTTCCCTGCAAATTGCACCTTTATATGACCTGCAGTTTCGTACTTTGGGAGATTAAATAGCACCTGTTGTTGAGGACAGGTAATTATTCATCTGTTTAAGAGAATGTGGCACCTAGCCGCGTTAGGGATTTAACGCCGGCGGGCACACCGGGGGACAGAGCAACCGAAGGGCCGGGCCCTGAGCCCGGCGCCTCGGGCCGCACCCTGGGTCACAGCAGCGCCGTTCCAAATTTCTAGATGGAGTCGCACTGCGTTGAGGGTACCACTCCCATCCTCAGGGAGGAGCCCGCCCCCTGCCGGGCTGGGTGGGCACGAGCCGCCCCTTTCGGACCCCCGGGGAGCGAGCGGACCCGAACTGGAAGGCCCGGGCGGGCGAGGGGCCGGTCTTACGCTCACCGCTGCGGAGCCTGCTGCAGTCGCCGGCCTTGCCGAGGGCGCTGCTGGAGCAGCCCATCGTGGCGCCGCCGCGGGCAGGAGTGCGGCTCAGCGCGCGAGTACAGCCACCTGCTCAGCCCCACGCGGTATCAGTCTCGGAGCCTGGATCCCGCGACGACCGCCGCAGCGCAGAAGTTCCTCCGACCCGGGCGGCGCGGCTCCCGCGGCTGTAGGGCGCAAGCGCGCTCTGCGGAGCGCGGGGCTGCGGTGCGCACCTGCGGAGGAAAGCGAGCCGCGGGGTGCGCCTGGAGTCCGGGAGCGGAGATTAGGAAGCGGAGAGGGCGGGGACGAGGAGCCAGGTGCAGTGCAGGCCGAGAGGAAAGCTGGAATAGAAATGATGCCGCGGGAGTGGGAGGAGGGATCATCTGAATAATCACTAAATGGCTGGAGAGAGGAGGAGATGACTGTGGCCAGTGGCTCTTGATTGGTAGACTAGATTTGCGATGAGTCTTCGTCTTACATAACTTCAGTGCTGTTACCACAAGGAAGTTAAAGGTTGATACAATACTATTTAATCCACCCTCGTATTCAACTCTGGTCAATTGTCCAACCCGGGACCACATATTGCATTTAGTTGTTGGGTCTACTTTGCTCCCACATCCGAAGTCGTCCCCTCAGTTTTGTCTTTCGTGACCTGGACAGTTTGTATGAGAACAGGCCAACATTCCTCCGTTTGGATTTGTCTGATGTTTCCTCATGGTTATTTTCAGGTGATGCTGTTTGAGCGGGAACACACAGACATAATTGTGTATTCACATTAAGAGGCACATAATGTCCGTTTGTCCTATTATTGATAGTGTAGTTAAGGCAATATTTGTTAAGTTTCGTCACTGAAAAGTTATTTTACTCTTTGTAATTTATGGGGGAAAGCTTTAAGTAAGTATTCAAATTCTCAGCAAACTTTTATCTGCTACTTTCATCATATAGTAATATTCTTGCTTGGATCAATTATTTTTACAATGGTTACAAAATCATAGTTTTCTTCATTATACCATTCCTTTTGCACAATACTTTAATGCAGCACTTTCCCTTTTCCTCCCTTCATTATTCATTTAGGGAATACTCGTGGATGTTTACATTGCTCAGTGGGTTATGTCGTCATCTGCGTTAGTCTGTTAGGGCTGCCATAACAACGTACTGCAGATAGGGTGATTTAACAAATTTATTTCCTAGAAGTGTGAAATCAAGGGGTGTCCGTAGGGCCAGTTTCCTTCAGAGGCTTCTCTCCTTGGCTGGTACGTGGCAGTCTTCTCCACGTGTCTTCTCACGGTCTTCCTGCGATGGGTCGGTCTCAATCTCATAAGGACACCAACAGTCTTGGGGTGGCCACATGACCTCATTTTACCTTAATTACCTCTTTAAAAGCCCTGTCTCCAAATACAGCTACGCTATGAGGTACAGGGGGCTAGGACTTCAACGTATAAATTTTGGGCTGCCAAGTTCAGCCTTTAACACCATCATTATTTTTATGCTCCGATTGTCTAAAAGTTGGTATATCTCCCTATAAGGGTCATGGGATACAAACAAAGCCACGGTCTTTGCCATGTTCACAGGCCTCTCCTTCTTCCCACTCTTTTTTTCCACCTTCCCCTTCTCTTTCCCTCCTGATCTGCTCTCTCCTTTCTCTCTTCCTCCTCCTCCTCCTCCTCTCCCTCCTGCACTGCAGGCCTGGCAAAGCCTTGGCCACCTAGCAATTAGTTCAGAGATCCCTTCAAATAAAGATGAGACTGGAGATTTTTGAGGAAGGGCCCTTCGTAACATTACACATAAGTTACCAATTACCTTTTTGAACTCGCCTGGGCTATCTCACTTTTCCTCAGATATAATTATCGGCCAAGCCATGGCCTTCCGTTTTCTTCAGAGGAAGCATTTGAGAATCAGGTGAATAATCGTCTGGTGTCCTATGGATGTTAGGAAGTGTTTCTCATGAGCTACTTCAGCTTTTGTTCTATGGGCTCGGAATAAAGTGGCAATAGGAACAGGGTCAGATGTGGGCTCATCACTGTGTTTCCCCACTTACCAAACTGGGCGGAGCACCCTGTTTGCCAGCATCCGCGGGAGTGATCAACAGTAAGCTTCTGAATGGAGCCCTTTCTCTGAGAGCACCTATCAGCCACTTCATGGGAGATGGGTCGGACCTCCTTGGGGACAGTAGATGGTCTTTACTGTAACAGACATTAGATTAGACTTACTTTGCCTGCCCATTATGCCTCTGCTGGCACCATCTGTTAGTGGATGATATGTATCTTCAAGATATCACACATCTATCAAGACATTACATTCACATTGTACTGTATCAAAGAACTCACTATGAAACAAGGAATAGGTTCATTCCTGTGTGATTTCCCGGTCTTTCCATATAGCTCATTGTCCAGGAGAAGCTACATCTATAAAATGCTGGACGAGCACATTAAGCACTGTTATGGACGGGCCGTGTTAAACACCTTTGAAGGCTGGGGTGCTGCCCTGTGGCTTGCAGTGTTCTCTGAACCGGTGACTAATAAATGGCTCAGCTTCCTCCATGACCAGTATTTGCAGGACTGGGTCTTGCTCTCCCAGCTTCTTGTTCATTTGCTGAAGTACAAAATAAAAGCCTTTTCTGCTTAGCTGAGCTAGTTTGTTTCTGTTGCTTACAAAAGTATCCAGACTAACAATATATAATGCTGACCCTACCTCCCCCTTCCTGATCACTCTCCTTCTTAGCAATTGCCTGTCCTGTCTATTCCTTTAGTCTTGGTAACACCTCATTGTAACTGACACTATGATTCTAAAGAACAGTAGACCTCGATGTGTTATATCTAGAAGATGCAGTGGTTTATATATCTTTTCACCTCCAAGGACTCCTTTTATCATTTTTCGTTGACATACCCACATGTCGTTGTTGCCACAATTTTGCATTTATTACCTATTTCTCCATTAAGAAGTCAGTGACATTTTCAGATCAGCAGGACATGGAGTGTTACAGTATTAAGTTGATTAACTCTGGTTAAAAGCAAAACACATTGATGTCTTAGCACGTGCAATTACAGCTTTATTAAATAGTGCGGACTTTTCAAATGAGTGAAAATGATATGTAAATTTTCATACTTTTGTGGACACTTAGGAACACAGGATCCCCATGTATACTAAAATTCAAAAACTGACTACAAGAAATATAAAAATAACCAAAACGCCAAACTTTACAGACACCACTTGACTTTCCAAAAGGGTCAGTGATAAGTTCTCCTCCACAATAAAATGGTGAATAACATACCCTGAGTTGTTTGTATCCAAGAGCATAAAAAATATGTTTCCTTTGATGGAAAAACAGCTTTTAAAAATAGGAGAAAGTGTTTCTCTGGCTTATTTTTAATCTGATGCACTCTAGAGCATTCTCAGTCCAAACAAAAAAGAGTATTTGAGAATCAGGAAATAATAATCTGGTGTCCTGTGGATGTTAGGAATGGTAACATTGCTTCCCACCTGTCCTTCAGAGGTTGAGAATTCTTGTACAGGGGTGCGTGTCTGCAGTCACCTGAAAGGCCACCAACATCCCCTGGGTTTACAGGGTCTTTTCACTGGGGTTCATGGTCCCTCCCTCATCCCACCCTATTTGTGAGCATAGTTAATGCCAGGGGTGATTTAAGAATGCAAAGGCTGAGTTAGACAAATAGAGTTCCAAATTACTAATGGGCCACTTTGTAATCTGGACACTGAATAATAGTTGATCATAATGAACATAATAGTTTTAACTGTGTAACAATAAGGGGATGGGTTAATGAGGATCAGATGAACTTGTATTTGCTCTACCAGCATGTCAGTTTTAAGGCCCATAGCAAGTAAAAACCAGCAGCAGAAAAGCAGGTGCCTGCAGTTTTCAGAGACCTGGAGCAGTGATTTTGGTGAAGGAAAACTAAAGGAGAGCCTTATGTTAATTCTGTCCTATCACCTTTACCTGTCTGTGGTCTTTTAAGATCACTCTGAAATGCTGCAGACCAGTATCCAGAAAAAGATAATGTCTACATGGCAAAGTCCTTTCTCAAAGCACATACATTTCCCAACTTTTCAGTATTAAGATTTAACAACTGTTAGCCCTTTGCTGCATTTGCTCTACCTACCTACCTGTCATCTACATTAATTTTAGCAATTCGAAAATAAGTTGCAGATATCATGACACCTATCTATACATTCTTCATTGTACATCTCTAAAATAGGCTAAGGACTTTCTCTGTGTAACTTAAAGTAGCTATTTGTTTATTTGTTTATTTATTGGAGAGACAGGAAGGGAGGGAGAAAGAGAGGGAGAGAAACATCGATCAGATGCCTCTCGCACGCCCCCAACCGGGGACTGGTGATCTTTCAGTTTGTAGGCAGGCACTGAGTCCACTGAGCCACACCAGCCAGAACTAAAGTAGCTATTTTTAACAGTAACAGTAACCTTCCAACACAGGGATCAGCAAACTATGGCCTGCAGACCAAGTCCTGCTGGCGGCCTGATTTTGTAAATAATGCTTTATCGGGACACAGCCATGCTCATTCTTTTCCACGTTGTCTGTCGCTTCTTTTGTGCTACATCAGGGTTGAGCAGTTGCCACAGAAACCACCTGGCTCAAAAGGCCTAAAATACTGTTTGGCACTCTTACAGAAAACGTGTGCCTACTCCTGAGCTAATAAAAACAAGTGATAAAATATTTACAAAATCTTCATGAGCCAAAGGATTTGACTGTCATTTTTGCGAGGCAAGGGTTCCTTCCTCTGGTGCGGTTTTGTGATGTTGTGAACGACTTCAGTGGTGGGTGGGTGGCTGTGACGGGGAGTTGGGGCTGTAGAACAAAGGAAGAGCACTAACACCCACTGGGTACTTTTCTACACAGGGCCCTGTGCGAGGTGCTTTGTACACTATTATAGTTACTGTGACCCTCACAACAATATTGTTAGGGAGACAGCATTAATCTAATTTTATTGATGAGGAAGCCGAGGCTTACCCAAAGTCATGCAGGTATTAAAGAGAAAAACACAGAACCTAAGTCTGTCCTAAGAAGAGACAGCAGAATCCGTTAAGATTCCCCAGAAAGAATTCTCAAGCATTTTGTGGTCATGATTCATACACAAAATGAGTGCTTTGGACTTCTCTGGCTTCTGGCACAAAACTCGGTATGACTGCTGGGACAAAGCAACCGAGACCTTTCTTCAACCGGAGCAGGGACATGAACTGGAGACCAGTAACTTGGTATCATATAATGAAAAGCACCTCAGGAAACTCACCTCTAGTGTTTAACCATTCTCTCTCTAAAATGGAGGTAATAATCCGATTACTTTGGGGGAAGTATCAAAAACCTTTGAAAGTATAGAGCTCAATGTAAAAGTATAAAGCATCATTGTTTAGTTTT